CGTTGATCCCTGGAACGGATCTTCAAGTAATATAACATGACGTATATGAGAAAGTACATTTTGAGGATCATCAGCAGCATCAATCAACGCCTCATATTCTCTTTCGTATGTCATCCTTTATTGTATCCAAATCTTCTTTTCAACTTCGCCAAGAAGATTTTCAATGTACAACACCTTAGATCTGTTATCAGCAAATAGTGTTTCAGTCAACAAATTCAATGTGATTGATTCTCATCTTGAAATTACATCGTCATATAACGAGAAATCATCAGGAAGAACAAGTAGTACTCCTTGTGTACTGTTTGCAGAGGGTAGATTCCACATGTTTTGGCGATAAGTTTTTCTAAAATCAGAAGATTTCGCCCTATAGTTATTGTATGACGATGAGGCTGATGGTTCATGCAGCCGACTGGCTGTTGCAGGGGGGTATGCAACTGGTCTCATAGTAGGTTCATTAGGGGGTAAATAAGGGGGAGAAGATATGGAAGCATAGGCTTTATCAGTTTTTCATCATTCTTCTTAAAAAAGGGTATTCAAAATCATTCAACTGACTTTCAATATTAGGATAAGCAATTTCTGGCTGTGGTGTTTCTGGTGAGGTGTTGGGACTGGTAGGGATTGTATTGATATGTGGAGTTGATGGTACTAGCTCTGGTTCAGGTGGAGGACTTTCATAATGTGAAATATATTTTTGGAGGGTGTAGAGGTTTTGTGGGAAATTGTGATCATCAAAGGATATTAAATCCTTGTCAGTTTCAGAATCTTCAGTGCTAATATTCCCATTTAAAATTGAAAAGAATTCATCTAAATCATCAAACTTTATTATGTTGTGGCTGATTATCTTCATCATTTTCATCACCCCATTCGATAGCAATGAATGGTATATCATCAATCTTTGTGGAATATTCTACTAGATAATCATATTTTTCACTTGGATGCCCTAGTGGTCCAACTGTAGGATCACCATTTTGATAACTTTCCCAGTCGGCCGCATGAACCATCAGTCTCATCGTCATACAATAACTATAGGGCGAAATCTTCTGATTTTAGAAGAACTTATCACCAAAACATGTGGAATCTACCCTCTGCAAACAGTACACA